CTCCTATATCAAAGCTAAGCCACAAACCGGTCATTTAGACTTCTTCCTTTCGTCTTTCCACTGTTCTGTGAGATGTTATGCTAAGAAGCTGGCAGAAAAATTAGGAGATATTTATTCAGTAATCTCCAAAATAAGTTGGAAAAGAGATTGTAAAGGTTCATTGACAAATGCAACAGGTTTTTTTTTTTTAATGCCAATATGAGCCAGGCACAGTCAGATACACTGTTAGCTCATTTGCTATTTTTGGTACCAAATAGCAAAGCTGAGGAGAGATTATCAGCTATTTTCATGGCCTCTTACACATTTAACCTGTGGTGATATTCCCTAGAAGATATGGTTTTATGTCCCTGTGTCTTCCAAATTGCAACAGGACATCTATTTCATCTGAGAAAATGACTGCTGTTTAGATCTAGGTGTGCAATGTGAGTTAGGATCAAAGTAGAAAGGAAGCAAAATAAGGTCTGTAAGGAAAATAATCGTGTAAGAAGTAACATGGCCTGGGGGGTAAAAATGCACATATATCCAGGAATAAGAAACTCCTATTCAAATCAGCATTGCAGATGCAGAATTCAACTGAGATTCCATTCAGAAATCTGTAAACCAGGAAGAGGGATCATCCCGTTTTCCTGTGATTGGTTAATAAATTTCAGTGAAGTTCTTTTGTCAATGACTCTGTTAAAGATTGACTTGTATTTGAAAACGTAATTCAGCCCTCTCCCCTACTCTCTTCTCCTTGCAAGAAGAAAAAGAAAATGAAGAGTATGGAAAATGTTTGGAAATGGGACCTAGTATCTGGAGAACTCCTTTAGACACAGCAATACTTCCTCATGATATAGGTGGTTACAGTACCATGGGCATCAGGTAAGCACATCAAGTGCTTTACAGTATGCGCGTGTATAAATATCATCAGGCACAAGAGTCTATGGCAGTCAAGAACCTGATTCCAATCAGAACAGAATTCCTTAAAATACTGTTTTCTTTGTGGTCACAACTGCCCTTTTGAATGTGAGTGCTGGTCTCAAAAAGATTGCTTATAGATCAAAGATGAACAGCAAAAGGAGCCTATTCCGGGATAGTAACCAACTCTAAACCTATTACAGGTAAATGATTGACAACTTCATAATTTAATCTTCTACTTCTAGAGGATATTAGCAAAATACTATAAGATCAACAAGACTCCCTCACGTTCAGATAATGCACTGTTTCAGCTTAGAGTGACTAGATCTTTGCATCTCTGTATTGTCATCATCAAGGATCCAGTAGGCACTCATATGCTAAAAGAAAAAAAGACTCATCTGTCCAAAGATAAAGTCTGACTAAAATGAGCTAGGATAAAATCTTTATTGGCTCCACAAGAAATTACACGAATGACACTCCCCACCCCTTGCCTATAGTTGACAGCCTAATGTTTTTTGTTCCATTTCTTTAAATATAGTTTAAATTGCTATTTACACAATAAAAACAATGTCCAACATCAAAAAACCACACACTTCTCTAGTTTAGAACTACTGGAACAAGTCACAGAAGAACTCATGTGATTGAATTTTATATTAGGGCTTTCGCAGATCCCATGGAATCTACCAGTTCTGCATTATGGCTTACAGTCCCCAGTCTCTATCAGGCCCAAAGAGAGATGACAGAAGTGGACTGAGATAAAAAGGATAGTTTCATCTATGATCATGCAGTGCATACATTCCAGACATAAATATGATACAGAAAGGGCACTTCTGCAACAGACTAAGTCTTTGAACTGAGTTAAGTCTGTCTACCTCTTTGAGCTTTGATTTTTCTCATCTCTAAGATAGATTCATCCTAGAATCTTTCTTGCTCCCTTTTAGCTCCAATGTTCTTTTATTGGGTCCTAATTTATTTAATAGATGCACATACTGAAACACTAATACGTTTTGCTGGTCAGTCCTAAACAAATAAGCCCTAGAACACTCCATTTTTTCTTCCACATCTATACTTGGGCAGAAGGGCATGGAGAGCTGGGCTCTAAAAAGACCCAAGTGAAATTCTCATTTTATACCGGAGCAAATGCCTATGTGTGATGTGATCATTTATGTAAGTTTTTATTTAATAATTTAAATGCCACAGAGCACTGTTTACTGACACTGCACAGTGGAATCCACCTAATGAACTTTATTTTACTGCTGCCTAAGTCCCACTCTCCAGAGATTTTATTTAATTGGTCTAGGTGCAGCCTGAGAACCAGAATTTTATAAGCTCTTCAGATGATTCTAACCTGAGAAAAAGGGGACAACTATTGGCAGAGAGCAGTAATTCTCAAAACTTACTGTGCATCAGTCACCTGGACGGATTGTTAGAAGTGCTGTACGCAGTTTGATTGAGTAGGTCTGGGGTGAAGCCCTAGAATTTACTTTTCTAACAAGTTCCCCAATGATGCTGATGCTTTTATTCAGAGACCACACTTTGAGAGCCATGGCCAGTGAGAAATATCATTGACAGTAGCACCTGAAGTCCTAAGTTATATCCTGAGTCTATCATTACCACCTACGTAATCTTAGGAAAAGTAATTTATTCTCTTTCCCTTAGTGTCTTTTTAACAATACTTAGATCTCAGAGTGGTGAGTCATGAACAGTGTACCCACCTGGATTTAGTACACCACCTGGCACAAAATGTAGTAACAAGTATTAGTTTCCTTTTCCATTACACATGGCTAGACAGTGTGAATAAGTGAAATCAATAGCACAGATTAAAACTTGGCAGGAAAAGAGACAAATGAAGCAGGCAATGTCTTATTAAAATTATATGTGTAACAGATGATAAATACAGAGAAGTGTTTTAAGTATACGGTCTTAAAATACTTTCATTCAATTTTTGAAACTTTAAACACAGTAATTTAGGTAGCAGGAATATTAGATACAATCTATAAAGTGAAAGAAATATTAGATTCGATCTACAAAGATCATGAATTTTTTTTTAGTGACTTACAATAGACTCCAATACCTCATCTAGGGCAATTTAGTTTTCTAGATAATCAGAAATAAAAACTGAATAGTATACTTGCCTGAAATTTTCATTATGGATCTTTAAATGCTCTTTAATTCCAGAGAAAACCTAAATTATTAAAGTGCATAAGAATCCCTATTATTAAACAAAGCAAAACTTCTACCAACCAGGGGGTAAGTGTCTTTTTCCACATCTACCAACTAAGAAAAAAACAAGATAGATTTCCCTCCTGCTTGCCAATTGCTTCATTCTGAATGTCTCAAGGTCCTCTTAGGAGTTGATGCCCAAACCCTGAGCTGAATCCTGGGAGGGAAGCCAGCCCACTGAGGAAGCTGCTGCACAAGCCTCCAGATGCAGGGAGGGTGACGGGGCTTGTGCCCGCACAGCGGGGCTGGTTGCGAACTGGAATACTGTCAGTGCGTCTGTGTGGACCTACAAGTGCAGCCGTCTAAGTGAGGCTCAAAGGTACTGAACACTCCAGGCCTAAAGGCCTAAGTCCTACCACGATTATTTAAAGCAAGTTTCTCCCTATACCAACAGTTGGCCCAGAGGCAAGGCCTTAGGCGGGTTATTTTTAAAAGCCTTTCCTTCCCACTCTGGCCTGATGCCACTGTTTGACAGCTTTCTTTTCTGGAGTCCCTGGAAAAAAAAAAAAAAAGCGATGGCTGCCTGCACATCTCTGTTGCTACGCTGTGCTCTGAATTTTTTTCCACTTCTTATTATTTTCAACTGTCACTTAACCTGATGATGTATTTTTAACTTCTCATCTATTTATGAATTCTCTTAACTAGACTGTGAGCTCCTCAAGGGTCCTTCATTTGTTCCCTTCCTCCATGGAACTTTCTCAAGTGTCTTCTCAGTAACTGTTCCCTTTTGCTATCTGCAATATAAATTTGACATTCTTTGTAAAAGCATCTTAACAAAACTGGTGTCCAATCAACACCTGTAAAATGCTTACCGGATTATCCATGCTAAGAACTGGACATGACTGGTTTTCTCAGGGTAAGTCTTCATACTCATGCTGTCAAGATTATGTAAGACCTGTAGTCTAGACAATATATTTGGAGGGTGGAAATGATTTTTTTAAAGCCAGAGGATTAGCCTTGGTTCAGCTCTCCTTAGTGTTTCAAAATCAACATTTAATATCACATGAACAGAATGGTTCCCACCTCATTATTGTCTTTGGTATTCCTGAGCATCCTTGAACCCATATCGTGCTCTCAAGGTTTCCCCAGGAAACATCCATCAAACTTTCCTACCCATTAAAACAGAACAAAACAACAACAACAAAAAACAACAACAAAAAAACCTTTTCTTCCCCTTCCCTGCAAAATGGTTTATTAGAAGCCACGGCCAGTGTTTAGAGCCTTTCAAAAAAACCCGCAATCCAAACCCTCTCAACTGAATCAGAAGCAGAGCTCATTTCATGCCTGTCCTGCCAGAGAGCAATCCCTTCTCTCGCAATTTGCCTATCACTAGTAACCAAAGACTATGTTAGATGGCCCGAGAAGGTTCCGGTGCCACCCTGGAGGCATTATCCTTTTGTCTTTTAGAGTTTTCTCACTGGGTTGGTCTGGTCCCATCACCAAAGCTCTGACCACAGTCATTCCAGCTGATCCTTTAGCAGGACTGGGAGGTTCCAGAAAAGTCACTGGGGCAGCCCAGAGAAGAAGTAAGGTTTATCTTTAAATCTCAAAGAGTGGGGAACAGACTGATTTGCACAAAGCTGGATTATGGCATTTTACCTCCACTTCAGCGCAGCTATTATGGAAGAAATATTGTTCTAAGATTCTTAATTAGTTGCTTCGGTTTTCCTTTTTTTCTTTTTTTTTTTTAAATGACCCAGATTGGGCATCCTCTCTCAAGGCTCACTCTCTCACTCCTGCTATACATCAAATTCTCCCATTAAGAACTTCCCTTATATCAGAAACCTGAAACCAAATAGCAGCTTTCCACTTCTTTAATTCTCCATAAGGCATCGCTATTATACTATCATGTATGGACATGTGTGTGTGCGTGTGTGCGTGTGTGTGCACGTGCGCATGCAAGCGCACACATGCACATGTGTTTTACAAAAGTAAAAATGCTTTCATTATCCTGTGTTTGATATAGGCACCCAAGTATGTAGATAGAAATTAAATAAAGGCCACAAAAACTTCCCAAGGAAGATCATTAAGAAGAAAAATCCCCTCTTCTCCTGCATCGCACAGCTGGCCGTTGAGGCACGCCAGCGAAGAAAAAGTTATTACCCGTGCTGACGTGAAGACTGGACCTTTCCCTCTTTGGGTTGTAGCTGAACTTCTATTGGCAATCCTAGCAAAACACGTAATTTCCCATCTGTTCTAAGCATGTCTTTTCTTCGGCCTTCTTTCAAACAATACCTTCACTCTCCCATTAGATATGAGGATGTGGAGATTTGGACAGTGAGGTCCTGCTTGGGTAGCAGTCTCTTTCAATGACATGTTGACTACGCAGAAAGAGGGAAGGATATGGAGAATGGCAGGGGTTGAGGGTGAGAGGGAAAGAAAATGGGTCTTCTAATGGGAGCACTGGAAGAGAGCAAACTTTTCATAGTTGCTTCCGGTATCTCATGAAGGCCCAGGCTGCTACTATGGTGAGGGCAAACACTGGCACCAGCACCAGAGCTATAGGGATCCCACTCGGCTCCCCTTCACTTCGATGTCCTATAGGCCCGTTCTGCACCTGTAACTGGAAGGGAGAGAAAAATGTTAACACTAGTGAGCAACGTGTGCTCACCCCAACTCCAGTGTCCATGCTGACACATTACCTGGGTCTAGACCACCCAAAGCTGTGACCTCCAAGCACTATCTGGCAGAAGGAGTCCTCTTTGTTTATTCTAAATTGATGCATCAGAGCCATCAACTCTGTGGAAAGAAGTCTGATGGGGAGGCATTTAAGCTTGCTGTGCTACTAACTTAAAGGGGCCCAGGGGTGAGCGGATAACCATTCTATTTCTATGCTGCCTCCACCAAGCTCTACATGTATCATGCTAGGAAACCGAAGATAGGAGATGAAACCTACTGATCCTGCAGGGAACCTCAAAATTACTGGGCAGGAGCAGAGGGTGCCCACCTTCCTAGAAATGTTTACTCAGAAAGATTGCCAGTTGTCAGAAAGCAGTAAGGGCCAGGTACAGTGCCATTTTTGGAAATACTTTCCAGTTCCCAAAAGGCACCAATTCCCTCCTGATACAGTGTCATGGCCTTCATCTCTATTTTGTAACACTAGACACAGATAAAGAGGAAACTTATATGGAACAGAGATAAAATACTCAGAAGTAAACAAGTAAAAAAAAATCATATCCTAGTGGTGATAATTTTCCACTGTCTAATAAGCATTCCCGTTTGAGGCTGGGTGGCATTTCTTCATATTAACTCTTTTTTTTAAGCAAGCAAGTGAACGGGGGCTGGGGGACTAAGGGAGTGCGGGAGGGGGTGGGGGAAGGGGCAGAGTGACAATCCTAAGCAGGGTCCATGCCCAGCATGGGGCTCCATCCAACGACCCTGAGATCATGACCTGAGCCGAAACCAAGAGTCGGATGCTTAACTGACTTGAGCCACCCAGGTGCCCCTCTTCATACTAACTTTTAACAGCTAACTTGCAACAGTTATGATGCCATTTTGTCTCAGTTTGATTTAACCTCATTACAACCCGTGAAAAGTCTGACCCTTCCATATGAAAGGCAGCACTGCATGAACTATCTTTTCTATCCTCTTGCCCACCTCTACATCTTTCACTCATTTCCTCTTCAGATGTCCTGAGAGGGCCTGCCCAATAAGAAGATAATGGTTTTTAGGGCTAGGCCAATTTTCTGACCAGTGTTTTATTAGGGGTTACTATGTTTTACTAGGAGTTATTTATAGAGGTTTCCCAAAACATGAACTTTGGAAATCGTTTCCCACATGCCTTTAAAAGAACTCTAATCATACCTGAAGTGTATACCTACATTCATTACTTGCCTTTACTATTGCATGAAGTCTTCCATACTTTAGAAACATTAAGAGCCAAGGCAGAAGCAGCCAATTACCAATATTCTCACCTACTGACCTGTTTTCTAATCCATCACACAGATTCTGCTTGCAACTCTGGTATCTTTCATTCTGTGCTCCTTCTGCTCTGTACCACCTCCTGTCAAGCTCTTCTTCAGCCTCTGAAGCCAATGACAGCATCATTTAAGAGGGCACACTGGGGGCATCTGGTGGCTCATTTGTTAAGTGTCTGCCTTTGGCTCGGGTCATGATCCCGGATCATGCCCGGATGTCCTCGGATCAAGCCCCGCATCGGGCTCTCTGCTCGGCAGGAAGCCTGCTTCTCCCTTTCCCACTCCTCCTCCTTGTGTTCCCTCTCTCACTGTGTCTCTCTCTGTCAAATGAATAAATAAAAAATCTTTATTAAAAAAAAAAAAGGGCACACTGAACCTGTGTTGTAAATGCACCCCAAAGTCCTTGGAGTAGAATTCCTCCAAAGGGAGGAATTAGGTTTACCAGGCTTCTCTACCCATCATCCAAATTATAAAACACTAGGGACTAAGAAGTGGATGCAGGGAGAGGTGCTGCTTTGATTAAATTCTTTTCTTTAAAAATTTATTTATTTGAGAGAGATACAGTGAGAGAAATACAGAGAGAGAGAGAGCATGTGTGGTGGGAGAGGCAGAGGGAAAAGCAGACTCCCTGCTGACCAGAGAGGCCAATAGTGGGCTCAATCCTAAGACCCCACAATCATGACCTGAACTGAAGGCAGACGCTTAACCCACCAAGCCACCCAGGCGTCCTTTGACTAAATTCTGAAATCCATTTTCTTTTTCCTGGAGATCCCCTTTGAGCATTACAGCTTTGGTCAAGAGGGTCAATAAGTTGATAAGAAAAGGGTTGTGTCGTGATTGGGAAAAGCGCACAGTGGGTATCAAGAAAGCCACCCCCTCTACACTTCAAGTTTCATTAATAAGTATGTTCAAGGGCAGACACAGGTTTCCTTCCTTCCTTCCTTTCCTTCCCTACTAAAAAATAAAATTGATTCTTGCTGAATTTTCTCCCCATTGATTTGAATTTGGTTGTCAAGCTTTACAGTTAAGATACATCTCCTGGAAGCTAGGACCTAGGCTGCAAGCAGAATGAATTTCCTTTCATGATAAGAAGAAGTCCCTGAAGACCCCTGCCTGTGCTAGACAAGCTCTTCCAAAGAGTGAGAAAGAAAAAAAAAAAAAAGCCAAATGCACTACTAAAGATTGTGCAATATGTCGTATTCCCAAGAATGATACAAAAGCTTGGTGCCAGCTTGCTGGCTGCAGGTAATACCTACCCTGTGTTGTACTCTTAGGGACACGGCATAACCTGCATTACGGAAAAGGTCTACAGCATCCTGGTGCAGCAAGTTCCTTAGGTCTTGGCCATTTACCTGTCAAAAACAGCAAGAAAAGTAGTAAAAGAGGTAGAATGATAAGTCAAAGATTGATATTCATGTGATTAAACATTTAAAAACTACAGAGCAAATTTCAAGGACTAGGAGAATGGGTCAAGTAAAGTAGAACTAAGTCACTTTTTCAAGTTCAAAGCTACATTTTCCTAGAACTGAGGTTCTGTGGGCCATCTGAAGAGCACCAAGGTTTTTTATTTAAAAAAAAAAAAAAAAAAAAAAAAAAGTTTCTCCTTCACCTTGGCTCCTGTTGCCTGTCTCATTTTGACAGTTGGGTTTCTGCTATGTACCTGTGTGTCTTCCCTAAGCATCAGCCTGCTTCCCTACAGCTAACATGATCTTCTGGGTTACCATCCTATCCTTCACATTGCTAATCCCTGGTACTGCCAGCTTCAACTCTAGAAATATAACTCTATGAAACAATTTATTTTGATGTGGTGCAAACCTACTAGCCCATTCTATTGGTCTTGTTCAATTGTGAACAATTTCCCTTGGTTCCATGGATACTCCCATCCTCCATCAATTTACTAATTTTACAATATTTCTTTGATGATACAAACTTCCAAAAAATGCTTCAGTGTAGCATCTAGAGGTGAGAGACGACCAGTGGGATTAATACTTCTGAGTGTTAGGAGTGACACTGTCCGCAAGTGTTATCTACCCTATGGTGTACTCAGTGCCACAGCCTAGCCCACTTTATGTAAGATCTACACATCTTTTGTACACATCCATGTCATTAACAGCAACAACAGCAGGAACACCTCATGTATTTATCTGGTAGGTTCTGTGCTGTATGCTTTACACGTGCTATCTAATGTTGTTCTCACGATAATCCTATGAGGTAGACACCATTTTTATCTTGTTTTCACAGATGAAGAAACTGGGGCTTAGCAAGGTAGATAATTCACCCAAAGTCATAGTAAGTGTAGGAGCTAGGGCTAGTATTTTTAAATATCTGAAGTAGCGTTACAGTGCCCTTGCAATTTACTCTTCCTTCTGCACTATTATTCTTCCACCTGGACTCACGAACTAGTTTCAGCTGAAGCTCAAGCCACTGATTTATTCAAGCCTTTCATCTTCCTTGTTACTGTCTTCCTTCTCCAGGAGGTTCACATCACTCCTCCATACAATCTCCTGCTAGGTGACTTAATCTAATAGCACTTTTGTGTTATAAACTGTCTACCTTACTCTTAGAAAACTGACCACAATTTCTACTCCCTTCACACTTGCTATTCCTCTACTGAATCTGCTCATTATCCTCACTAAGACCTTTAACAACCTTTTTTAGATTTTACTTGCATCCTAACCCATCTAGGAGTTCTTGCTGTTATTTCAACAAAGCACTTCGTCAACTATTAGAATCCCTTTCGCCATGATCTTCTGCCATCTTTCCAGTCCCGCGAAACACAATGCATTTAGTTTCCTCGTCATCACTGAGTTTAATGTTCCTGGGGAAAATACACCCTCCTACTTCCCAGTACAGATCCATGCTGGCTGACACCTGCTGTATCCTTATGACCACTCTACTCACCTGGTGAACTCCCTAATGAATGCCCAAGAGCAGCTGTTCCAGACCTTTCCTACCATCACACTCCAACGCTGATCCTATCTTCTCTCTCCAGATTCCTTTGCCTTATCTTCTTTGAGAATACGGGTAACCTCCCACACACTCTCCGTGTTCTTTCCTGATGGCCTCTCACCGCTTCTTTGCCCTTGTTTCTGATTTAGATACATTTCCCTCTACCAAGGCTAAACCAGCCACGGATGCTGTTGGTCACATTTCTTCCAGCCTTCTTCGAGAACTTAAGTGATCACTTGCTCCTCTTGATTCCTTCATTATTGCTCTCTGCTCCTTCTCAACTAAAATTATCCTCATCTGTAAAGAAAACAATATCAATATTTCTTGGAACCCACGATCACCCTCTTCCCATCTTCTGTCCTCCACCTTTCACTGCAAAACTTGTTTAAAGAGCTGTTGGAAAGCACTGCCTCCACTTCCTCTGCAGCCACGCACTCTAATCCCTGGTACAGGCATAGAGTATGAGGAGGCAGGAAAGAATATTCTGTCCTGCAGGTCAGGAGGGACTTCTAATCCTCAAATCCTACAGCCCTTTCCCAGTCGTCAGACTTCTCCCTTTTGTAGTTCTCTCTGGTCTCAGCTTCTGAAGCTCCCTTAGTTCTTGAAGGAATCCTTTCCCAATTCCTCTTCTTCTCCATCCTTCTTAAGGGAAGTAAGCATTCCTCAATGTCTGTAGTCCTCTGTCCCCTCATCTTCTCTCCCATGATGATCTTTCACAATTTCAACTGTACTCTGCAAGACAACTCCCAAATCCGTATCCTTATTTCTACTTCTGGACTTGCCAGTTTCCTGCTGGATGCCTGGACAGGAATATTTTGCTACACCCCCATTCAACAAATCCAAAGCCTCCTTTTCACTTCCCACAAAACCAGACTATCTCACCTTCCCTCTTATTGCCACTACCATTCCTTCAGACTAGAATTCTGCTATTTTTAAGCTCCACTCCCTGTCGATGTTCACATACAATACCTTGCCAAATCCTATAGGCTAACATAATACTATTCCTCACACCCTATTTTCCTTCAATTGCCTATTTAGGTGGTGGACACTTTCAGGTGAACTATTGTGATCACCCTCTCATTGACTCACTTTCCTCTAGCACGGCCCCCCGTTCTATCCTATTCAAACACTGTCTCCAGATCAAGCCTCCTAAAGGACCATTCTGTTCCTACAAACCTGGGAGCAGGAGAGAAGAGACTGCATGCCTGATTTCTCATTCTGGTATACAAAGTCCTCCAGGAAGTGGCTCCAACCCACTCTCTCAATTTAATTTCACATTATTCCCTTTCATAAATCCTGTGCTCTAAATCACAAAATTCACTGTCCCTACGATGTAAAACATATATCCTTACTTTCACGCCTGTGCTCCAGCTATTTCGACCATCTGAATACACTTCCTTTTTTAAAAATTCCACATATCTTCCGAGATTAATCTTAAAAAGGATCAGTCCTGCTGCCTACAGTGTAGAAGCAAATATAGTTTTCTAGTTGATAGACTTCGATTTCATGCCACCAAGCCACCTTCTGATCATGCCTTTTGTTTGTTCTGGTGAACATGCCACAGGAAAAGAACTTCAGGAGTCCTAGAACCACCACAGTGAATTCTCAACATCTCAACCTTCTAGTTAATTCCTGGGGTAGAGAATCAGTGTGAGATTGTGGACTATAGTGGGAAGGCTCATGTAACTAATCTAGCCCATGTGGTAACTGTACTTCTCATTGTAAGGAAATGGCTATTTTTCTCTTAGAGACAGACAAATTAGGTTAATGATGCAGTTATGTCAATAAATGCCAAAGATCTCAGAGCTCAGCATCACAGCCAAGTTTCATAGTGATTAAGAATGCAAGTGGGAGAACTCAGTCACTAAATGACATTCAATGGCAGCAGTACTAAGTTCAAGATCGTCTTTGCAATCACAGCCCAAAATAACTGTCAGGAAACACTGAATATTTATTATCATGTCTGGAGCTGTCTCTTCATTTTACATGTACTAACTTATGTAGTCCTCGCAATAATCCTACGACTTATGAACTCCCATTTAATAGATGATAAAACTTGGAAGGCTATGCAACTTGTCCGTGGGCATATAGAATGGAAGTAGCAAAGCCAGAATTCAAATGGCCTGGCTGTAAAAGCTTCACTTTAAAACACTAACCCACAGAAATTCACATTGTAAGCAAGGATTTTATCTCAGCAACTTACCACTATCCATCTCATTAATACTGTAAATTAAATTTTTACTGGTTTTGTAGTTTCATTTTATCTAAAAAGTTATACACTTCCAAATTTTAGAGTTTTGTAGAATATAAGGTGTTTCTACATTAATATTTTTATTCATGTGCATATATTGAAGCAGCATTAAAATTTGGGAAGATAAAATTTAGTTAAGTGCCAAGTCGATGACCTTTCTAGAAAACTCTGACAGATGTGACTGATTTCTTTCTTTGAATCTCTGTATTATGTAATGATCTTAAAGCTCAAAGTGAACTCTACCCTATTTTATATCACTTAACTTCGAAAGGCTGTATCACAAAACTCATCATAACCCCTGTAATATCTGAAGAGTACTTTGAAGAACACGAATATAATAAATGTCACATGATTTCCTGAAGTTTGCTTGCCGACTGCAGCCTGAAAAAGCCTGACGACATATTGTCAATATTATACAAAGCTGAAAGGCCTGGACTCTGACAGCAGTTTTGCCTACCAGTGACTCAGTGTGTAACCTTGGTCCTCACCTGAGCCTCCTTCCGCTCATGGGGAAGGACATTAGTGGTATCAGGCCAAAAAAGGTGCCACACAGGGCATAAGCCAATTATAGCAATCATGTCTTTCAATCCTCTTAGTTAGGTCTAAAGGTATTGTAATATAAAGGGACTATTTATTACTCTAATTACTTAAAAAAAAAACAAAAAAAAAAAAAACTCCAGACAAGAGGCCTTTGAGACATTCAAGGGCAATTTCTTTTTTAAAGAACCATTTCTTATCCTTTGCCCAAGTTTAAAAACAGCCCCATAAAACAAATTATGATTCTGTCTCTTGTCCTGGTCATCTCTAATTCAAAGCCAGATTGGCTTTCCAATATTTGCCTCCTCTATGCATTTTCAGATTCTACCTCATATTGACTATCCACCAAGGTCCATAGATTTTATTCCTAAATATATGTGGAATTTGCTCTCTTTGTCACCTTCCATACTAATATAGACCAGGGGTTCTCAAAGTGACCCCAGAACCAGCCGCATTAGCATTCACCAGGGAACTTAAAAGTTAAAAGCAATCCGTGCTTTCACAAGCCCTCCAAGTGATTCCAAATGAGTTAATTCTAACCTAACCTGCCTGAATCAATCTTTAACTGGTCTCTACACTCAGCCTGCTTACCCTATTCAATAAAATTCTGTGCATACACAGATTTCATCAGTGACTTTCCGTTTACCAAAGTAGTGATTTTTCAAATATGAGTCTATGGACCCACCACAGAACACAGTGAAGTTAATCCAGTGGGTCAAGATAAGTATTTAATTTTAAAACAGTGAAAGTAGAAGAAAACACAACACACAGTGTATCACATATAGAAGGGATAAATACTATTTTCTTAACCTTTGCTTCGGTTACATGTGTGGTTGCATGTAGTGTATTACCTGTTATAGATCATAATTTAAAACATCTGAATAACACTTGCCTAGAGCAGTGCCTCTCAACAATTAATTCATACCCAGGGACTTTATTCACACCCAGGGATCTTACTATAATGCAGGTTTTGATTCCAGTAGGTCTGAGAGGGGTCCTGAGATTCTGCATTTCTAATAAGCTCCCAAGTAATGGCCAGATGGTCCCTGGAGCTCACTTTTAGTCCCAAGAGCTATTCAACAGAGAAATCTTAGAACACTAACTTGCTACTTCACTTTCCTTAACTCATGAATAGTTTCATGAACCTGAGATATGGTAGATGTTGCAGCATGCTAGAAAATTCTACTGACTGAATGTTCAGAGAATTGAAATGCTGGTGTTCTGCTTAACAGATAGGGAAACATAGAATTTTTTTTGCTTTAACTATGGTTGTGAGCAATCTTTAAAAATTAGTCTCCTATTTTCTGCCTTAGGAAATGAGTAAACAGTTAAAATCAGTTTCCTCCATCTTTTTTTTTGAAGTTTAACTCTTCACCTGTGTGACTTATGTATTCCTTTATTTATTTACTTTAGAGAGGCAGAGACAGACAGAAAGAGGTAGAGGGCAAGGGGGAACCCTCAAGCAGGCTACATGGCCAGTGCAGAGCCCAACACAGGGCTCGATCTCACAACTCTGAGATCATGACCTGAGCCGAAATCAAGTGTTGGATGCTTAACTGAGAGGGCCACCCAGATACCCCCAAATTAATTACCTTTGATGATTAATAATTTTGAATTGCCTCAAGAGCTCTACCTATAGAATAGCATTAATATAAATGTAGATGATGTATGGAAGGAATGGACTTAATTTAATAAGCACTGACCCAGATTATACTCTGGATATTTTAATTTTTTTGCCAAGATCCTGAAATGAATCACAATGAAGGGGGGGGCGCCTTTGTCAGAGTTGAAGAAGGAAGAAAAAACCAAATTATCTAGTTCTAATTAATCAGACCAAACCAAAAAAGTCCATTATGCTATGATGCATTCACAGAGCAGCTATCTTACTGCATGCGTACTCTGTGCCAGCTACAAGCCTACAAGCTGGGGGTGCTGAGACAGGAGGACAAAGTGCCTAGAGGCATCCTTTGTCTAAAGGATTCTGCATATCTCAATGTCTTGGCTGCTGCCTGAGATGAAGGTTTTCTGGTGGATCTTTCCCACTAATTTCTAAGCTACGGGGGAAGACAAGTCTTTCATTTTTCAAATCATTCCAAAGCACCTAGCATGGTGGTCTGCAGGCTGTCAAGTAGAGTAGTTGTGAATGTTGAGGACGACTCAGCACTTTCATTCACCAAGTTAAGAATTCTATTTGACGAGAACATGAAATGCAGCTGACTGGTGGCCTGATGGTGCCATTTTGTTATATAAGGGGTTTGGTCAAAAGGGAATATTCACCTATTCAGTGTAGGGATCAGTTCACATCACACTGAGCATCATAAAAATGTATGGTTCACTGAGGATGGACTGTTCCTGACTATCCACCTGCCTTCATTTAGGCAGACAACAAGGGAAATGACAAAAGATAGTTTACATTTTTTTCCCACAAAAATAAAATTTCTCCAGGTTCCCTGGTAACCTATACAAGTATTAAATTGGCCTCACCAACACATACACAAAATAAACTTCGGGTGAGGAATCTCCATCTCCAGCCCTCATCTCAACTTCAGGTTCATTCTATTAGTAATATCTGTTTTTGTTTCATGGTTGTCAGATGGAATAGGGCCTTAAAAAAATTTGCATTAATTAAAAAATTTTTTCTTCTCCCCCCCCATTTTTTTAAGTTTAAACATTCCACAGAGATCACAAAAAATTAACTTCTGATAAGAGGAAACTGTATAAGTCATGCTATTATTTAATTTTACCTGAAATTAAGACAAAATTATGGGCATTATTTCAAGAGAAATGGAAAGATTAAACTGTCAATAATAACTCAGGAAATCTAGATCACTTAATGAAACTTTTATTAATTATCCAAAATGGATGTGCTAAGGAAGTGACATTCTTAGTCTGATTATCTAACAAAAGTTAAAAGAAAAAGAGTTGGGGCACATTTTGCAACATGGAAAAATAACCTATGTGAAGAGAGTAGAAAAACCCATCAAGAATCAATGAGAATACAGACTAATAAATAGTTCAGCATCATCATTTTACAGAGACTCCAAAGCCAGTAATAGAGCGCTTAAGAACATCAGAGGGAGAGACTGAGCTACAAAGGAGACATAAACATTTAACGGTTAATGCCCAGCAAATGTGCTTAAGGAGAGAAAGCGGAGAAGACGGTGAGTGAGGCAACAGAGGCAGTATTTCTTAGGAACAGGGTCTAGAAAGAAGAATTTTGGAGCAAATTCTTGGAAAGGAAACTGGAATGAAATAAGATAGCCCTAGAAAGAATGAAGAGCATATGCTGGCCTCTTCCTCTTGTATATGCTCCATCTTCTCTTTCTCAGTCTTACTCCTCTCCATATCTGTCTTATACTTTTGCCTCTTCTTCACCAGGCATTTCTTCCCTCTTCTTTCCCATGTCTTAACTGGCCAAAACATAAGCTTGAAACATAAAGTAAAATCCTCCTTGCTACAAATTTTAAAGTGAAGGGAGCTGAGTTTTTTGTTTTGTCTTGTTTTGTTGACATTTACTTTTCTCTGCATGGACATCTATCTCCTACCATACCCTTTAAATGGAAAAAAAAAAACAAAACAAAAACCTGAGCGGCCTTCCAATAATTTCTTTTCTCTATGAGGCAATGGTCCACATAAGAAAGGCTGCTCATCTTCTTTTATGTCTAATAAATTCTCTCACACTGAGCTCTATGAACCTTTTTTCCTAATTCTATCCCTTACAGAAAGACTGCTGTCAGTTTTTATATAAAACCACATAGAAAAGCAATGCATTCACCATGAAACTTTCTGTTTAGGATACCTAGTCCTAGCTCCTCATTTACCTCTTAGGAGGCAGTACATCATACTGATTAAGAGCAGAGGCTCCAAATTCAGGCAGCCCAGTTTTAGTCCTCTGCCACCTACTAGTTGTGTGACCTTGGGCAAGCTGCTTGACCTCACCAAGACTCAACTTCCTCAGCTGCCTGCCAAACAGTCATAATAAATGTACTCACCTCATAGGGTTATTGCAATTTTAAATAAATGTAAGGTTCTCAGCATATTGCTAGTATACAATGCTCGAAAACTTCTAACCAGTCTCATTTTTCAACAATCTACATTTTACCAAACCTTTTTGAAAAATATGGGTGTCCTCTTAACCCCTACACTTTTCAAATGTAACCCAGGCCCCAGTGTTCTGGACAGGATGTGGTATGTCACTTTAAACTGCATAGTTTCAGGCAACCCTTTCGGGTCCCCTCTCTCCTTGGGAGCTTTGTACTATCATTTTGTTATCACTCAATAAACAGTACTTTGCTGCCCCCCAAATAAGTAAATAAATGAATAAATAAACTTGCGGTTTCTACATACATGCTATACCTTCAACAACCTACTCTAAATTTCCCATAATGTACCACTCAAGTTGATTTCATGTTTTTTGGATGTCTTTCTCCAGGGGTCTATAGGAAATAATCTACTTGTCAACTTCTCAGAATTGTTTTGAGATAAAAGGTATTTATCACTCTCTGTATCTCTCAAATTAAAAAACAGGATCTAGGAGAAGCTTAACGGTCTGAAAAGAGGCAAAATAGTTGGTGAGAAGGACAAAAGTAGGATATTACCATCCATGACATTATATTTATATTCTGGATCAGCCAACCTTTCTAGGCTTGCCTGAAATTTCTCAACCTGTTCATCTATAAAATATATAATGAACCTTGTGCAAGGATACAAAAGGTTAAAAAAGATCTAGTCCCTTTCCTTGAAGAACTTCTAGAAAAGAATCAAATTAAAGCTCACCATATAGCATCTTATTACAAACAGCAGAGTGAAATGGGACCTCATTAGACAAAAACCCAAATGAGAATGCATTCCAATTTTTCATCTTCATGTCAGGTGAGAAGGGCTCTGAGTCTAAAAAGGACACTCAGGGCACCTGGGTGGCTCATGGGGTTAAGGCCTCTGCCTTCAGATCAGGTCATGATCCCAGGGTCCTGGGATCAAGCCCTGCATTAGAGAGCCTGCCTCTCTGCCTACTTGTGATCTCTGTCTGTCAAATAAATAAATAAAATCTTTAAAAAAAAAAAAAAAAGAAAAAAAAGGACACTCAATTCCTACCTTCCTTTTGTGTCTCTTTGTAGTAAAGGAAGACACACGTTAGTCTTTCAATTAACAAAAGGGAGGTAATAAAGTATAATTGAAGGACAATTGTAGGTTTTAAGTCCTTTTCCCCCACAACAGTCCCTCATCCCTACCTGTTTCCTGTCTTTTGAACTTGGTTAAGTAGCTTCATTCTGGACTGAATATGCCTTGTCTATCAAATGAGGAATTATATCCTCTTTGCTCTATGTTCGTGTTAGAAAAGGTGACTGATCAAGGTCCCTCCTCCCACCACATTCTATAATCCGGTATTTCCAGATCCAAAGAGGCAGGCAGAAATCTTCCCAAGGAAGGGGCCAAGGGTAAGAACTGGGGTCTAGGGAGCAAGGAACAGTGAAGGAGGCCGAAGCCAGTTCTCACCGAGAGGATCTTATCACCCTCCTGGAGCCGCCCATCCAGGGCCGCAGCCCCATTCTCTTTGATGCGGCTGACGTAGATGCCACTGTCGTTGGAGACATACTGCTGATCTGTGCCACCGACGATGTTGAAGCCCAGCCCTGAGAAAATCATGGAGGAGTTGTAAAGGAGATAGTGATGAAGAAGGAAGGGAATAAAGGAGAAGAAGAGAGAAAGAGGAAAGTTCTAGTTGGGAGGGGACACTGATGAGTCAACTGTGATATAATGGGCCAACTGACATGGGCAAGGTCAGTGAAGAGTATCATCAACAGAGGTCAAGAGTACCCAGAGTTGTCCACTTAAACCAGGCAAGACTAAAAATATAAATGTAGTCATTTTGTTTATACTAGTCATACTAGTTTGCTGAGTATAAAAAGACCTATACTAAACTCAGTGAAATAATGGTGATTCTTATGCACTTCTGTTCACATTCGATTTTGCTTCTGCTGGCGATACTTAGAGGAGCCAATTTTTTACTTTCCTGCTATTAATGTAACAATGTGAGCTGTGTTCATGAGAAGTCATGCTTTTAACTATTTAGCAAATGAACTATCCTTAATTCAGTGGAGCACAGATGCTTAACCAAAGCTTCCCCTTCATACTTCCCTTCTCCCAGTATTCAGGACAGTTTGTGTTGGAGGTTATTTTGGAAGAAATGGTCTTAGGAGTTTCATTTATTTTTCTATTTTAGTGTAGGTGTTGGCAGGAATCCTGGGAACCAAAAAGATAACTGAAGCTTCTCAATAGGACTAAATCACCACATTGACTGTTGCCTTTTCTACCTCCAGTGCAAACGACCATGAATTTGGGTAGTTTGCCAAGTTTTATTCATTGTAGGAAACGGACTACACACTGATTAACAACTGTCCATTCTCCCCCTTGCCCTAATCCCTGGCAACCACCCTTCTATTTTTTGCTTCCCTAAATGACTAATTTAAATGGGTATAAAAATTTCAGTTATGCAAGATGCAAGATAAGTTCTTGAGAGATGACGTACAACTTGGTGCTTATAGATAACAAATGTTACTGTACACTTAAAAATCTATTAAGAGGGCACCTGGGTGGCTCAGTTGGTTAAACAACTGCCTTCAGCTCAGGTCATGATCCCAGAATCCAGGGATCGAGTCCCGCATAGGGCTCCCAGCTCCACGGGGAGTCTGCTTCTCCCTCTGACCTTCTCTCCTCTCATGCTCTCTCTCACTGTCTCTCTCTCAAATAAATAAATAAAATCTTAAAAAAAAAAATCTATTAAGAGAGTAGGTCTCATTTAAGTGTTCTTACCATAATAAAACAAAATAAAATTTTAATAAGAAAGAAGACTAGTAAAGTGTCATTTCGATGGATAAACCACTAAGTTGTGGAAAGAATTTCACTATACAAAAAAAAATTGTTATAAAGAGATTTTATCTATGCATTAAAAAGGGGGGGGGGACCTCCCTGGGGTTTTCTTTCTGTCAGATACTGTAGAATTCATAGTCATAGTGCCAAGAGAAAAGAAATAGTATGAAAACAATTAAAAAACAAAAATCTGGTGGACAATTAGAAGGACTAGCCATGATCACTAGCTTACTATTGGTTTCAGTAGAAAACAAATAAAGGAGACATATGTGGGCTTTCTAAAAAATTCTCCCATTGGTGTGAAGCTCAGAGTATTAACGTAAGTACTAGCAAATCAATCTGTGATTTAAGAAAACACATGGCCAAAGGGAGAGAAGCAGCAGGAAACATCTCATTTAGACAGCATACCTTATGGACCAACTATCTCAGCTCAGTGGTCCACACCACTTCATCTAGAGAATGAAAAGGGTTCAAGATACAGGATAGCAAGAGTTCCTTCTAAAGATGCCTATTTCAACTTCCTTGAAGAGTAGCCTATGAAAATTTAAGTTACTAAATGGTTTCTCTTAGAACACTTAATTTGTATCATAGTGTGTAGGAGGTTCTGGAAAGGGGATGGTGGGTAGTGATAAGACAGAAAAGTAGGTGAAGCCTGATTAATGAAGGCTTTGAAATTATTTCCAAACTGACAGGTTTGAGCAAGGTGGCTGAGGACAACCAGCCTTTCACAATACTAGCACAAACAATTTAGAGAAAATCTTTCCAATCTAACATCTTCACCAAACGCTACAAATGACTCTGGGGACTTGGAGTACAGGGAGGATGTGTTAAGTAGCTAAACACAATCCAGTAGTTAGAAAGAGGGGGACTTTGCTACTGGTTACTGAAAGCTACAGAACAGTCCTAAAGAAGGAGAGTGGAAGAAATCTTACTGAAATTTTCTATAAACATGCAAGTGCTTACTCTCACCCAAAAATCACGTTAAAGAAGCATGTTAATAAAGAACTGCTCCATTAGTTGTAAATGAACCACACCACTTCACAGGAAAACTCTGAGCCCCACATGAAGTCTCTTTGTTCCGCCAGAACATTTCTAAAACGGAACTTACCTATAATATGAAGCATTGCTAAAATAAACAGAAGTCACCAAAGCACCGAGCAGCAGTACTACCAACTCAAACCTGATCATTTACTATGTGTCAGGTACTGTGTTATGTTCTGAGGAAGACATAAAGCTAAATGGGACAGTCACCACTTTACCAGAAACAGAAATTTATTCTTTTCCCTGTCCCTTGTAGATTTTGCAGAAACAAATTAAAGTCAGAAGACCTGGTCACAAATTCAACTCCATAATTTACAAGATGTGGACTAAAATAAGTCAGTGTACCTCTCTGATACTCAGTTTCCTTTTCTGTAATATAAGGATTACAAATCCTGCCCTCCCTACTTCAAAAGCTAATTGGTAGGGTCTAATAACATAAAATCTGAAAAAAGTCCTTTATGATCTACAAAGTAGTTACCACAAGAGTAGTTGTCAACAAACTGGTGCCTGCTACTGCCCCAAACTGGATAGTCTGATGGAGAAAAGATTAACAAATACACAGTACCAATGTGGAAAACCCTGAAATACAAGGCAGATAAAAAGTCCATTAATAGGACAAGACTGGTTTGGAACTCAAACCTAACTGAAATTAAGTATGTCTATAACTCATGACCCACACAGCCCCATCATGAAGTTTCTAGCAAGGGTGGTATTTAAAATATGCAACAGTCAGTCCAGCACATGCACCACCCAACTGCAACAGATGTCAGCTGGAAATAAGCAGAAGGAGAAGGGCTACCCCAGTATATATATGCTGATTATCAACTGTGTCTAGGAAAATCTTCCATAAATAGAGTAGATCACATGTTCTGGTTTGTCTGAGAGTCTTGATATATACTTGTTGTCCCAGTATTATTAAAATAGTTCCTTTCAATTTAAAAAGCATCTCATCGTGGACGAGTATGACCATCCTAACTATAAAGGGTAATGTAAGGAAAAAAAAAAAGGTGATGTGAGAATGTGAATTGCAGCATGCTTTGTGGTAGGGTGGAACTGATGGTAATTCAGGTTATCCATCCGTTGGGGAACAGATAACTAGAATATGGTTAAGAGTCAGAAGATCTGGGGCACCTGGGTGGCTCAGTCACTGGGTGTCTGCCTTTAGCTCAGGTCATGATCCCAGAGTCCTGGATTTGAGCCCCATCATCAGGCTCCCTGCTCAGCGGGAAGCCTGCTTCTCCCTCTCATACTCCCTCTGCTTGTGTTCCCTCTCTCGCTGTGTTTCTGTCAAGTAAATAAATAAAATCTTTAAAAAAGAGAGAAGTTCTGAATAATCATATATAAGGTAACAGAGTTTTAAAATGTAATGTTGACACTAATAGCCCAATACCTTCTTATAAATTAGAAACCCAGCACACAAACAGTATTACCTACTTACAAAAGTACATGTATATTTAAAGACATGTAGAAAACACATTAGAATAGGTGCCTCTGGGGGAAAGATAAAAGATGAAGTTTAGGGATGAAGGGCAAAAATAAAAAAACAAAAACAAACAAAAAACAGAGAGGAACCTTGCATGTACTGATGATGACAATGTGTGACAGAACTACAGGATATAATTAATTCAGTTCTCAGCAGAAGGGGTTGAGTGCAGAGGGAAAAAGAAATAGACTGGCACTCAAAAGACTTTTCAAAAAGTGAGGGAATAAAGAAGTATTGCATAGTGAACTCTGGTTATAATGTGCCAATAAATTTTTTAAATGTGATAAGATTAAAATGGGTGCTTGGTCTACAATTTGGAAGAGAAGTCTAAATGCAAAAAAGTAAAAAGACAGCTGAAGAATGATGCCACCGTAGGAGTGGGAGAGAAAAGAAGTACGTTTTCGTATAAGAGTTTTGTACAGTTAAACAAGAAATGCCTTCTTGTAGACACCCCCCTCCCATCTCCAGGTCTGGACCCTGAGCTTGTTTATGCGTAAGAGCAGTAATAGCAGAAGCAATGGTTAATGTTTATTGAGCATTTAATATGTACCAGGTACTATGCTACCCACTTTATATACATCATCTCACTTAATCTCAATAAAGAGTGATTATTACTCACATTTTACAGATGAATTTCAAGATGATGCATTTAGAGATTAAGTAATTTTACAAAAGGTCACAGAGCTCTTCACAAAGCAAAGACAGTGATTACACAGTGTGAGTTTTAGACCATTTTGCCATACTGTATCTTTGTAGTAAACAGAAACAACCACTTTAGGAAAAAAAGTCTGCTAATAAGTAAGGCTGCCAAAAAATTAAAAATTAAGAAAAGTAAGGCTGCTATCTTGGGAGTCAACCTGCCAGTGTTGGAATAATGTTTGTAGAACAGTTAACGAAAGTAATATATTACAGAGGAGGAACTGGTCCTTCTGGGGTTCTGTCACCTTAGTCGGGGTCCCTATTGTTTACTTTCGGCAAGAGAAGGAGAAAACCCTTCGTTTATTTTAGATTCTTATCTATAGAATCTAGAAGTTATAAATTAAAAAACAATGTTTAACCATATTACATATTAGTCTAGAATTAATAATTCTGGACATAATTAAAATGAAATAGTCCATTAACACCAACGATGGTAGCCACTTGCTGAATTATGAAAACCAGACTGATAAACACCCTATTTGCCCCCATCAACCTGCAGGTTTTTTCTAGCCCAAGATAATCTCACAAATTTTCCCTAGA